ACCATATGTGATACTTCAGGTCTTCTTCCTTCATCTTTCATCTTGTGATCTTCACAACCTTTCCCCATTTTCAAGCTCTATTGAGATATATCTGGATTTACCTAAGAAGAGTCTTTCTGAAAATCCTCCTCTAAAATCACGACTGGGTTTAGGGATGGCTTCTTGGGGTACTTCTTAGACCTTTTTGTTGTCTATCATAGGAATTGACCCTGTTTCTCTAATCCATTGCTTTAGAAAAACTACGGCTCTTTCTTTTCATAACTATCTTTCTCTTGCAGTCTAAAGCCAAATAATACAGAATCTTCTCCTTCCCATACAGTAACTAAATAGGAATGAACACAGTTTTGAGTTTATTGTCTGTTTCCTTTTTAAGGGTTTTCACTAATAATAAGTAGAAAGCAAAGAATGAAACAGAGTTCACCAACATTTTAAGGTCCGCTATCCAAGTCGTCTTTGAAGTGTAACCGCTAAAACAATCTTCATTCCTCCCCTTTAACTTCAGAGGAGTTAAGAGACAGCCAGGCAAGACTTCTAGCTAATATTTTGTACTTTAGATCAATGTGTCACTACTCTTTAACCTCTTAGATCCCCTTTTTTACACTCATCTTTGATTTTACCGTAATTCACATAGGTGGGGGCAAGCAAATATGGCTCTGTGGGCCCTTGGCTTGAACCAGGGAAAAAGACAATTTATCTTAGCAAAAAACTAGAAGAATGATACAGGTGAACTTATTTGCAAAACAGAATAGAGACACAGACGTAGAGAAGGGAAGTATGGATACCAGGGTGGAAGGGGAACTGGGATGAAGTGGGAGAGTGGGATTGACATATATACACTACTATGTATAAAATAGATAACTAATGAGAACCTACTGTATAGCACAGGGAACTCTGCTCAGTGCTCTCTGGTGACTTAACTGGGAAGGAAATCCAAAAAAGAGGGGATATATGTATACGTATAGCTGATTCACTTTTCTGTACAGCAGAAACTAACACAACATTGTAAAGCAAATATACTCCAATACAAATTAATTTACAAAAAAAAAAAGTTAAGGGTCTTGCCCACGCCTAGGTCTTCTGATTGCAGATCTTACCCACTTTCTACTTAGTGCTCTAATACCCTTTCCTTACTCTTCTATGTAAAAATATTATATAATGTTACCCTCTCTTATACATTTATATTTTATAACAATTTGCTCAAAGGTATGGGCTGAAGGCTTCATTCCTGTATTAGTTCCCTAGGACTGCCATAACAAAGTATCATAAACTCAGTGGCTTAAAATAACAGGAGTTTATTCTCTTACAGCTCCAGAGGCTGGAAGTCTAAAATCAAGGTGTCAGCAGGGTCACGCGCTCTCTGACGGCTCCACGCGTACACCCTTCCTTGTCCTCCCCTGCTTCTGGTTGTTGCTGGCAGTCCTTGGCATCTCTTAGCTAGTGGATGAATCACTCCACCCTCTGCCTCTGCCATCACGTGGCCTTCTCTGTGTGTGTCTCTGTATTCTCTCCTTATAACGACACTAGTCATTGGACTAGGACCCACCTTAACTCAGTATGACTTCAGTTTAATGAATCACATCTGCAAAAAAAACCCCGTATTTCCAAATAAGGTCACATTCTGAGGTCCCCCATGAATTTGGGGGGATCACTATTACCGCCTCTATTAAAGAACGTTCTGACATCTGTGAACAATTGGGAAATTTCTTTAGCTACAGAGGGGCTTTCCCCCTTTCCTATCAAGCGTCCCTGAAGAGATAATTAACTGATTCATTCATTCATTCAACAAATACTTAGTGACCGTCTACTGTATGACTGGCACTATTGCAAGCACTGGAGCTACAGCCCTGGAAAGAGAAAGTTCACACTTCATGGTACTTGCATTCAACAGGGAGAACCTTTTGCCAGTGTGGTATCAAGGTGTGGCCGAAAGGGCAAGAACTACAAGGCTTCATAATAGGCTCCAGAACTGGCTCGTCCTCACTTCTAACACGTTCTGCTAGTCTGAGCAGGTCACAGCCAGCCAGAGTCAAGGGGCTAGAGAAGTAGACTCGACTTCTTGAAGGGAAGAGTGACAGTGTAGGATTGTAAAGGGGAATGACCGTCGAGAGGGCAGTGACGACTCCTTTGAGATTTCCCCCAGTTGCCTGTGAGACTAAGGTAGCAAGAGAATCTCCTGTTTGCTCATGGAATTTTCACATTAGCACTCTGTCTTGGTTTGCTTCCTTCCCTTGAGTGTGGAAAGTTCCAGTGGTGATTGCATCTACTTCAGAGAATTGCTGGGAAGATTAAAGATAATGTATTTCAATAACCTGAAGGTGTGAAGGTGCCTGACACAGAGTAGCTCCCCCAGCTGTCTGCTGTTGTCTCATACCAGCTCATGATCACCAACACCATCATCGTCGTGGAAACCATGAGAGAAGACAGACACAGAGCCCTAAAGCAAGATGTAATGACTTGTCTCCATTGGCCACCAGGATATCCCTCAGGTCCCCCATAAACTCATCAGTGTCCCTAACTTAAGCCCATCCCAATTGCCCTATGCATATTCTAGAATGAATTGTACAGATTGCGGTTCAGAGTTGGAAACACAAGGCCAGCTTCTTGGGTCCCACCCAGGCCCTTGGCTCCACTGACTTGCCTGTGCAGGTGGCTTTAGGAGCGGGGGGCTTTCACTGATCCCTCCACATTACCTACTCTGGACCACCCACAGTCCAGCCTGGAGAGGGCAGTGGCTCTGTGGCTTTGGGTCCCTGTGAATCAAGTGGTCGCCCGACTTGAGAAAACCAGGCGTGAAATAGACGGGGCAATTGTGCTGTAAAGGACGCTCAGTGGGGAGGGTGTTTAGAGGAGGGAATGATTCTTCCACTTGTGTGGCCGGAGAGTGTGTTGGGCCTTCATGGATTATCCAGTTTATACCCGCAGAAAGGGAGAGGGAAGAATCCCAGATAGGAGTGGCTGGGCCCAACAGGAAAAGAGTGAATCATTTGTTTCTTTGGAGCTTCCTTCAGTTCTAAAAGGGGGAGGAGGGCTTCCCTGGTGGCGCAGTGGTTGAGAGTCCGCCTGCCGATGCAGGGGACACGGGTTCGTGCCCCGGTCCGGGAGGATCCCACATGCTGCAGGGCGGCTGGGTCCGTGAGCCATGGCCGCTGAGCCTGCGCGTCCGGAGCCTGTGCTCCGCAACGGGAGAGGCCACAACAGTGAGAGGCCCGCGTACCGCAAAAATAAAAAAAAATAATAATAATAAAATGGGCAGGAACGGGAATGAGGTGGGAAAAGTAGGTTGGTGCTGGACTCTGAAGGACCTCAGAAGACGAGCATGAGGACGGGGACCCCATTCATTCCGGGGTCAGGGATGCAACCATGTCATCTGCAGCCCCAGAGTGGCTATCCCATAGCCCTGGTGCCCCAGTCTCTCTATAACTTTAATCATAATATTAGTATCTTTGATATTTAAAAGAAGACCCATACATCTGAAACTAACACAACATTATAAATCAACTATGCTCCGATATAAAAGAAAAAATTAAATTAAAAAAAAAGAAGAGCACATTACACATCCAGGAGGGTAGATGGAGGCATGGCGTTAAGCCAGACAACGGTAGGGTGCCACCACTCCACTGAAAGTCTGTGGGGTTGGAGACCAGGATGGCAGCGCACCAGGCCAGTGTGGCCTCATGTTGCCTCTTCTAGGTAGACTGTGAGAACTAGTTCAGATTGGGAGCGAACGGCCTTTAGGGGAGAAACCTTTGCTCCTAGAATTCAGAGGAGCACACAGCTTTCCCCTTTGGCCCCTACTGAGGCCGCCAGCTCTCTGGCCTGGCGCCTCCTAGGCTGTGAGCCCTTTAGGAAAGGGTTATATCTCCCAGGGGTGCTGGGCAGAGTGCCTTGTACTTTATGAGGTCTGGACACATGTTTGAATGGATGGATCAGTGGGTGAATATGGGGAAAAAAGAGGAAAAGCTCAAAGATAATAAATGTAAATACCCATATATGATGGTTCCAAGTGATATATAACCCAGACTTAAACTGCCTTTTGCACCAAAGCAAATGTATTGACTGATGCAACAAAAGCCTAGAAGCTGGGGGTCTGGTTTCAACGTATGGAGCTAGGTATTCAGATGATATCACTGGGAATACATCCCCTTGTCTTTCTGCTCATCCCTCCTCTGTTCCCTTCATTCCCGGTCTAGTTCTCCCTGCATGGTGGTCCCTCCTCCCTGATCCCAAGCTCCAGGGTGCATGCTCTCAGCTCAGCGAGAGGAAAGGGAGCTGAAAATGAAGGAAAGCAGGTTCTCAGATGAAAATCAAGGCACTGGTACTGAGGAAGCAAAAAGCAACAGGTGTCCACAGTGATAGGCTTGTAGAAAAACTGGATCCCCTTGCTTTGAAATAGATCAACAAATGCCAGAACTCCATGCTTTTCTTCCTGCCTTAATCAAGAAGACTGGAGGCCTGGACATCAGATTAGAGTGGAAAGTGGGCAGCTTTGGTTGCCAGGCAGACCTGAGTTTGAATACTGACTCTCGCTGTGTGATCTCTCTTAATATTTCTGAACCTCAGTTCCGTTTTCTTTCCAGCTGGACTGTCAGCTCCCTAAGGGCAGTTACCTTGTTGCACTTTTTCATTACCGCACCCCCAGCATGCTACCTGGCACAGCCGCAGGTATTTGATATTGTTAAATAAATCAGTAACGGTTCGAGTTTGTTGTACAGAGAAAAGAAAAACTGTATACGTGAAGCTCTGATAAAATGCCTGGCATGTAGAGGGTGATGGGTAAGTTACAGAATTGGTCATTATCATTACTGTCCAAAGGAAGCATGGTGGAACACAGAACCGAAATAGTCCCGACAGCTGATGGAGAATTGGAAAGGGAGACGGGCCATTTAGGTTGTCAGTGGCTGCCTTGGTGGCCCGCATTGGCCATCGTGTCATGGATGTGGCCCAGTGTAAACATCCCACACAAGTACTGAGTACTTCTTCTTCTTGTGTCCCCTCTGCAGCTGGAGCTCTCCAACACGGCCGTCCTGCACCAGATGCGGCGGGACCAGGTCACAGACACGTGCCGGGCCAACAGCGCCGTGAGCCGCAAGCGGCGGGTGCTGACCCCCAACGACCTGAAGCACCTGGTGGTGGATGAGGACCACGAGCTCATCTACTGCTACGTGCCCAAGGTGGCGTGCACCAACTGGAAACGGCTCATGATGGTCCTGACCGGGCGGGGCAAGTACAGCGACCCCATGGAGATCCCGGCCAACGAGGCGCACGTCTCGGCCAACCTGAAGACCCTGAACCAGTACAGCATCCCCGAGATCAACCACCGCTTGAAAAGCTACATGAAGTTCCTGTTCGTGCGGGAGCCCTTCGAGAGGCTGGTGTCCGCCTACCGGAACAAGTTCACGCAGAAATACAACACCTCCTTCCACAAGCGCTACGGCACCAAGATCATCAGGCGGCAGCGCAAGAACGCCACGCAGGAGGCCCTGCGCAAGGGCGACGACGTCAAGTTCGAGGAGTTCGTGGCCTATCTCATAGACCCGCACACGCAGCGCGAGGAGCCCTTCAACGAACACTGGCAGACCGTCTACTCCCTCTGCCACCCGTGCCACATCCACTATGACCTCGTGGGCAAGTATGAGACGCTGGAGGAGGATTCCAATTACATCCTGCAGCTGGCGGGCGTGGGCAGCTACCTGAAGTTCCCCACCTACGCCAAGTCCACGAGAACTACTGATGAAATGACCACAGAGTTCTTCCAGAACATCAGCTCAGAGCACCAGACGCAGCTGTACGAAGTCTACAAACTCGATTTTTTAATGTTCAATTACTCAGTGCCAAGCTACCTGAAATTGGAGTGAAGGGTGGAGGTGGGGAGAGGGGCGAGAATCGTGCTTTTTAATTTAAGATTTTTATTTGTCAAAAGAATTCTATGGATATTGGGTTATTTTGTAAATTAATATTTGTTTGGGGATGATGCTGCGAGCAGCATAGTGAGAATTATTTAAAATCCTTAGTAGGGAAGGACGGCTGTCTTTGCAGGGCACTAGGATGGGTGTCCTTGTTTTTTAGACATGAATCCCCCGACACTTTCAGAGGTTTCTTTGTGTTCGGGTGAATTCCATGAATTGTGCATCCCATAAATTCTAATTAATGTTATTTATAGTTATTTAAACATGGTCTCTGTATAGATTTTTTTTTGTGGCAGCAAGATTCTAACGTCTTTGCAGAAGAAATCTATGTTTCGTTCTGTGCTTGCAGCAGCTCGTGCAGGGGCATGAATGTTCTCCTTATTAACCGCTCAGAGAGTCACTGTGATAACAACCGTTGTGCTGTCTGTTGATACCACCGTTCTTGAAATTCTGCTAGAAATAAATAGAAAGAGGCTCCTTTGCAAGGGACTGATTCCAAACTGATTTCAGTCGACCCAAACGTTCCTCACACGAAAGAAAAGTGATTTTTCTTTTTTTAACCCAAGGAGAGAGCTGATTGTAGCTTTTTTTTTTTCCCACCAGACTTAGCAATCTGGTAGAATAGGCTTTTCTACAGAATTTTTTTAACTGGCAGTGCCAGTTGTGATGAAGGTGAAGTGGCTGTTGCTTTACATTCAACAAGTATTTATTAAGCAACTACTATGTGCTAGGCCTAATTCTAGACCCTGCGGATAGAGCATTAAACAAAACCAATAGTCTTGGCCCTCAAGAAGCTTTACGTGGACGCAGAGTATCCAGCTTGACAGTTAGCAAACCCCTGGTATTCATGGACTTAACATGAGGTTTGCACTATTCACGAACCACCCCAGAAGGTTCAGGATCCCTACAAATTTGCATTTTTCTATGGCCCAAATTTGAAAACCACGTGCTTGGAACAGGCCACTTAACTTGGTGAGTAATCCAAGCCCATTGCCCAACATAAGAGATGACAAAAATGTTTCCTGTCATGTGCCCACTCCAATTTATTGGTAGTATCTATCTGCCTTTAAGCCCCAGAACAGATTTGCCAGGCACAGCATGGAAGAGTGCTGTGATTGATTAGTGATGTCTGCCTTGGGTGAAGGAAAGAGAATATTCACCGACCGTCTCCTCCTGTCATTTCCAGCCCAGCTTTAAGGTCTCCACCTAGAAGTGTTTTTTCTACTCTTTGCCATGTAAAAGATTAAAATTTTGTGGCAGGACTCAGACATTGGAGGATTTGCAATGGCCTGGCATTTCTACTCCTTGTGAAGGTCAGAGGCGGACTATTTGTACACTTATGCATATCCGCTCCTCCAAAGGCCAAGAAACCATCGGCCCCTTTGCAACCACCAGCAATGATCAGCAAGGACAGCCTTCTGTGATGGTAACCCATGCCATTTTCCTCTGGAAGGCTGGAAACATTCCATTCCCTGTTCCTTGCTAATGAACGTCTGCACATGCTTCTCATTTCCAATGCCTCCGCTGAAGTTTGAGCCACATCCCTCTTACAGCTAGTGAATGAGTTGGTAGCAGATACTGTATATAATAATAATAGTTCTAATAATAGGGGGAGGGGTGGGATGGGGTGTGGGTAAGTTTTGCTTTTTGTTTTTGATGCAATGTATAGAACAGAGGGGAGAAGAATATTCTAAACGAACAAAAAATAATTTATTCACAGAAGCTATTAAAATTGTATTGTAAAGCTCACAGCCAGCTCAGTGAGCGGCAGCTGTCATGTCTCACGGAGGAAATTATTTTATTGAATGTGAGTGAGGTGTGCGCTGGAGAGGGTGGCCGAAGCTATTTATAAGATGGTGTGTACCTTCTTCTAAGCTCTCTCTCCTGTGCGAAGGGCACGTCAACTGTACCCTTGACAAATAGAGATTTATGCAATGTGTTTTACCAAGTAGAGTGACAGACTTCAGCTGTCCTTGGAATTTTTCCTGGACCCTGTTTCCAGGCAGGGGACACTGTCCTCAGAAACAAAGCTTCTGCTAATGAAAGAGGTTTCTGGCATTTCCTGATAATGTGCTTCAGAGAACACAGGTTCTCCCCAGACACAAGTTGGTGTGATGCAAAATAAGGGTTTTGTAGTCAAATATCCTTGGGAAACAGAGTGAAGTCCATTTCCTTTCTGCAGGACTTTTCAGAGCCTTGAATGTGTGCTGTGCATTGTGAACTCCCAAGAGCATCACTGATGGAGTCGGTGGCATTTCCTGACCTTCTCTGAGCGGGATGCTCTATTTTGCGGATCATCTCAGAGAGCTAGCGTTCCACTGAATATTCTTTGGCTAGGTTGCTTTCGCACATCTGAGGTCTTCAAGGATAAAAAACTGCTTCCCTGACACCCCGCTTCCAAAAACAAAAAACAACAATAAAACAGCACCACAGTCTCCACCTGGTTTGTAGCAATGAAGGTACTTTATCAAATGAATTCAACTTTTGCTTAAGTGCAATGGTTCTAATCCTGGATATTACATAGGCCACGATTCCCTCCCTCCCAAAGGGAGTGCCCGAAGAGTCTTGGGTGGTGCTGACAGAAGGAGGGATGGGGGAGGGGCACAAAGCCTCAGTTGGTCCCCCTAGTGCTCAAGCCTAAGGTTGCTCAGTGCAAGCCAAGAGAGCTCAACCCTTGCTGAATGCTCCTTCGATTCTATAGTTTGGAATTGTTCAGTGTTCTTTTAGTACTTCAAGTGGAAATTCACATGGATTTCCCGCATTTTGCATTTCCACATCTCCGTCTTTGATCAGCTGTGATGCCTTCATTCGTCTTCTCGCTCTAGTGGGAAAGGGTGTCCTTCAGGGGACGATACTGCGGTATGGTTCGGCAATGAGGGGCTCTTTCTTCTCGTGTTTTGTGTTCATAGTTTATTTCCTAATGGCATAAAAACTTTTTAAAAAAAAATCAATTCAACTGTTTTTGCAGAATGTAGAAAGTACTCTGTGTCCTTGGTTAAAAAGAATCCATGGGTGAAAATGTGCCTGGGAAACAAAAGTTCTTGGTTCTTTCGTTCCTTTTCCTTTTTTTTAAAGAAGACTGTTTGAAAACGCTTTCTATTGCATGCTTAGCTGGAGAAAAGTATAGGCAGGTGTCCCATCTTCGAGCCACTTTTCAGAGGTGCTGCTGTGTTTTCAAAACCAGGTACAAAGTTGTATTTACAAGGACATTCCTGCTTAACCTGTCCCTTTGGTTGGAAAACTGTAGAATATTAGCCACAGGGTTTGAATTCCTGCAGCTGCTTCAGACCCTCCCCCTTCCCTGCCTTCCCAGCTGGTCTGGGAAGAAGGGCAGTCTGCTGACCTGTTGGTGTCTCAGAGGGGACCTTCCTTCCCACCTGTCCACCAGGTGAGTTTCACGGTCCTGCCTGTTCAGCTGTATGGCACAGGACAGCAGCGGGCAGTGGAAACTTCGGTCGGACCAGTGTCCTGGTGGCAAAGGCGTGGAAGCACCACGGTCTGATCCCTACTGGTAGAAAATTCCCAGAACAAAAGCGAGTCCCTAACAACCTTAGCTGGTGGGGTCTGGACCACTGCTGAGGTAGTGATTGCAGAAGTCCCTGTTCTAACCTGGCCAGAAGCCGAGGGACTCTGACCCTGATGGGTAGGGCTCAGAGCCGATTTCTCACAGCCTGACCATCCCCTACAGAGACACGCAATCTGAGCTGCCCCGTTCTGTGCGATCCTGGGAATGAGAATCTCTTGCCCACTCATGTCAGCAGGACTGACCTCATCACTCCCCCAAAGTTCCCACAACAAGTATTTCCTCCAGCCTTTTCCATCACAACCAACTGGACCCTATGAACGGCAGCAGGATCTACAACCAGCTTGACCTTCGGCCGTTAACGGGCGAATTTCAGTCTGTTACCCTTTGTCAGGTACAGAAGGGGCTGCCCGTACTATTTTCTTAGGAGCGTGCTCAGTGTGGCATATGGACATATAATTTAACATCTTTGTGGAGTGTGATTTTCTTTTTTTACATATTTGTGTGCAGTAGAGGGCCTGTTGTAGAAAACTCTCCCTGTATCTTACTGTACTGTTCAAGAAAGCTGAATTCCACATTGCCAACAAAAGCGTGAAAATGTTCATGAACCTTCTTCCAGGAAAAGCCATTCAAGCCTGATTATTTTTCTAAGTAACTTCAATTAAATTGAAGAAAGAAAAGAAGCTTCTCTCTGTGTATGGTTTGTTCACGGCTCACTGACAGAGGACTGCAGAGGTGGGGTGGGCTGGGCTGTGTCCCTTAGCACGTGCGGGGCCCTGCTCACGTGTATCAGAGGATGGAGTGGGAGAGACGCACATGCAGACCGCATTGCAGTCTTGGCCGTGGCAAAGACCTCCATAGAGCCGAGCCCTTTCTGTTTAGTGGATGAATAGAAGCTTTCTTCATTCCTGTTTTGTCTGTAAATTCTTTGTAAAGCGATGCATTAGAAGGCCCGCCCTGATCATGTAGGCTACCACCCCCGTGAAAAATAAGGAAACAGGCCCTGAAAGGCTAAAGGGCGTTGGTGGCAGAGCCAGTATTCAAACTTAGGTTGATGTGCCTTCAGAGTTGTGGCACTCGACGACACGCCTCTCTTAAGTGCCTGTCTTTTGTTCCGAAGTTGTAGACCTGCCCTTCAAAGCCCCGATTTTCCGATTCCGAATCCATTCCTTTTCTGATGTCGTATATAGCTTCTTTCGTTTCCACTGATGGACATTTTTAGCTTTACTGATAAGAACTATTTATTTATTTGTCAAAGAAGAAATCATCTCAAAGTTGTACCTCTATTGTACCCTAATTTTAAAAAATGTATTATGTAAACATTTTGACATGAGAATACTGAATTCAAAGATATGTCTCCTTTTTCCTTTTTTTTTTTTTTTTGCAGTACGCGGGCCTCTCACTGCTGCGGCCTCTCCCATTGCGGAGCACAGGCTCCAGATGCGCAGGCCCAGGGGCCATGGCTCACGGGCCCAGCCGCTCCACGGCATGTGGGATCTTCCCAGACCGGGGCACGAACCCGTGTCCCCTGCATTGGCAGGTGGACTCTCAACCACTGCGCCACCAGGGAAACCCTATGTCTCATTTTTCATCCATGCCGGATATGGTATCTGATATGTCCACTCACCAGCTGGTTCTCACCACCAGTGGCCTGGCTCCCACCCATTCCTGGTGTCATCACTGTCCTTGCTCTGGTCCCCTTTGGTTGGCAAACGGCCAGACCATGGAGCTTAGTTTTCTGAAATGGATGGGAAATGTGCTTACTTTTTAATGTGGCGAGTGGCTGTGACTGTTATGGCCTGTCCCTGTCTCACTTGGGACACTAAATGCACTAAACGTCAGTGGGAAGCAAGGCTGGATGAGGACACCCCCAGTCTTAGTTTACTCCCCATGGAGTAAGACTGAAATGCCCTCTCGTCAGTGGTCAGCTAATCTTTATTTCTCATGATGCCACTGGTGCCCTCTGGCTGACGCTGCAGAAGCTACAGAAACCAAGGGGCCTGTGGCCCAGAACACTGCCAGGGCCAGAGGTTATTACGGATCCACCACCAAGTGAACAAAAATAGTGTCAGGAAGAATCATGAGTATCCAATGCCGAAGTATCCTTTCTTGGGAAGAGCGCTCCTTTCTCAAGTCATGTCTGTCCTACATTTTGGTGTTCAAATAACTTTTATAACGGTAGCTATTAAGTGATATTAGAAAATACAAATACTGGCAATTTCATGTCAGCCCCCAAAGTCATTTCAAATATTTTCTCAGAAAGTTATGATATCCAAAAAGACCAGGAACCATTAGCCAGGAATGCATTTGAGGGGGCAGAAACCTGAGAGATTTAGTGGAGAACAGCACTCTGGGGAAATCCTTCCTGGGAACAATTCTGAGCTTTGCACAGCTGGTTCCCAGACTCCTGCTGGCACACCGTGGGTCCCTGGAGTCCTGGGATGACTTACAAGAAGTTGAAGACTGATCTGGTCTACGTTCACCTGTAGGGAGTTTATCAGATATCTTGGTTCTGGGGTGATGGACATTTCCAGTATAAAACAAAAAAGGGACTTTCTAGCAAGACTGACGTGAGAGAAAAACCCAGCCAAACAACCAACCTTTTCCCTGGTCCACAATCCTCTCCTAGAGCCAACCTCATCCCAATATCATAACAACCTATAGATAGAACAGCATGGAAGCAGCCTGCTGATTCCGAACACGTGGCTGGCTGAGAACTGCTCACAAACACAGTGCCTCAGTCTCTTTCTCTTTGAAACAAGAAAAACGGCAACATCTGAATTATGCCAAAGTTGAGATAAATAAGAACCCCTGAGGTTGCTAGCCCCAGTTCATCCACCAAGGAGTTGTTTATAATCTAGAGGTAATCACATCCTGTTTGGGCCTGTTTGCTCATCTGTAAAATGACAAAATTGAGCTATATCTGTGGTTTTTCAGGTTTTTTTGGGGAAAAAAAAGAGCCTCAAAACTTTCTGTGTGCTAAACACTCGTATGTAAAACAGATGAAACAGAGATGCTGTGATTGAATAGTTTGAGGCCCAGCTGAGCCTCTCCTTTTCTGTAAAATGCCTGTGGACCTCCAGGGAACCCTAGGATTCTAAGGAACACAGTTTGAGAACCACAAAGTTAGATGACCTCATCCTTTCCAGTGTTGACATTCTCTAATGATCTACCCAAATGCTCCTCTGTGGCTCTTTGTGGCTTTCCGCCAGAGGTCAGTTAGCAATTAGACGGTACCATGGAAGTAAAAACTCTTTCAAAAAGGGAGTTAAGGCAACAGCATTGAAATGAGATTAAGATGGAAGAAATAAGGAAAAGAAAAATAGAAAGGTAGAAGCAGCTGCAGGAAAGAAATAGCTCACACCCAGATTTAAGATGGGGAACCAAAGTTTACACTCCTCATTTTCAATGATCTACCAAGAAAACACTGGCTCCAAATTCCTACAAATCTCCACTAATTTGAAATACAAGACGCTGGAATGAAAAACAGTCTATTAATCTGCTTTTTATTTTTCAATGTTTGTTTTTAAAAATAATAGAGAGTCACGTTACGGGAGAATAGCAAGGGCTTCAGATTTCACGGTTTGGAAGAGCCCGCAGCTAGAGAAAGAGATTTTTTTGTGTCTGCATCCAGCCTTGGACCTTTACAGGATAGACTAAGCCAGACACCACTTTGTGCCTGGAACCAAACTGGCAGCAGGATGAAGGAAAAATGTCTAAAGAAGAAATGAAGGAGGAGGAAGGACCTCTGACTGTAGGAATGAGGCCTGTACGCTGAGTTTCTCTGTACAATGAGCACAGACTCAACTGCGGGTGGCTTGGAATTGTTGGCTTTTCATGTAGTCTTTTCCAAAAATATGTAGCTTCATAAACGAAGTCGACCACAAAAGTGGCTAACTTTTATTAATTTATATAGTTTACTGCGTGACTTGTAATGCATTAAATGTCTCCATTTAAACCTCAGAACAACCAGCAAGGGAGATATTTTTTGTTTTGTTTTAAGCTAGGTTTTTTTTTTCATTGAAGTATAGTTGATTTACAATCTTGTGTTAGTTTCTGGTGTACACAGGTAGATACTTTTATTCTTTTTACAGATAAGGAAGCAGACGGATCCTTTAAATGACATGCCCCAAATTACTCATCTAATAAGTGGCAGAGCCAGGATTCAAACCCAGGTCTGGTTGACTCCCTAGCCCACTGGAATTAGTAACACCGATGGGCCAACAGGGGAGGGGGCCAAATTCTGGGGATGATACTGCTACAAGCAGCCATTAATGAAGAGACATTACGACTCCGGCCAAAGCGCAAAATCTGATTAAATACAATCAAAGGGAGGATAAAACAAAAGAGCTGGAAGACTAAAAGGTTAAGCTTCAGACTAAAATAGTCACAGAAAACTACACGAGCAACTTAAGTTTCTGCCAGTGTTCTTGATGGGAACAGCTCAGTCCCCTCCTGTTTCGCCTTTCCTCTTGCACCACTAGTCACACTCACAACACTTCTGACACCAGATGTGTGTGGGTTTCCCCACAGCAAGCCATTCCCTGTGACACCAGCGGGTGTCCTACAATTTCACTCAATTCTGACACCATCTGCCTGGAGATAACATCAGATCCCACAGGTTAAGGCCTCACTCCTACAAGACTGCTCACCTGCCGCTCCAAGTCCAATCCCAAGTCCAGGCTGTCACTTGTGCTTCTGACAGATCGGCTATAAATCAGGGGTTCCCACCACCCCTTCCTCAGGTTCAATTAATTGGCCAAAGCGGCTCACAGAACTCAAGAAAACAGGTTCCTTATTGTTTATAAGTTTCTCATAAAAGGATATGATAAAAGACACAGATGAACATCTAGATGGAGGAGATGCATAGGGCAAGGTATGGGAAGGGACTCGGAGCTTCCACGCCTCTCTGGCCGCTCTCCCAGCACCTCCACGTGTTCACCTACCCAGAAGCTCTCGCAGCTCCACACTTTGGGAATTTTTTATGGAGAGTTCATCACGTAGGCACGATCAATCATAACTCCATTTCTAGCTCCTTTCCCCTCTCTGGAAAACAAGGCATGGGGCTGAAAATCCCAAGCTTCTAACCGTGGTCTTTCTGGGGACCAGTGCCCCCACCAAGAGTCACCTCATTAGAACGAAGGACACTGCTATCACCCAGGCAATTGCAAGGGATTTAGGAGCTCTGTGTCAGGAACTGGGTCAAAGACCAACTATTAGGGCTTCCCTGGTGGTGCAGTGGTTGAGAGTCTGCCTGCCGATGCAGGGGACGCGGGTTTGTGCCCCGGTCCGGGGGGATCCCACATGCCGCAGAGCAGCTGGACCCGTGAGCCATGGCCGCTGAGCCTGCGCGTCCGGAGCCTGCGCTCCGCCATGGGAGAGGCCACAGCAGTGAGAGGCCCGCGTACCGCAAAAAAAAAAAAAAAAAAGACCAACTATTAGAATAAAAGATACTCCTAGTGCTCTGATCACTTAGCAATGCCAAATGTTTCAGGAGCTCTGTGCCAGCAACTGGGGCAGAGACTCATATTTATATTCTGTATCTTACCAGAATGCTAGACCAATTATCGACAAATTTGGACAAACTATTTAGAAAGTTTGGACTTCAAATGAAAGCCAAATGGCAAAAGTGAAATTCAAATCGGGGTCTCAGAAGAGTCCGTGAGTCTAA